CTGAACACAGAGTAAGTGCTCCAGAGGCAAGAGCCCTGCACTTCCCAGGGGACTGAGGTCACTGCTGCAATTACAAGTCAGAACTGAAGGCAGCAGCAATTATAGTTTTCCCCAAAACTGGTGGTGCCTGAAGTTTCCCTGGTTTATTTATTTTTTTTCCAGAAAGGTTCCAAATAGATGCTTTTTGCTACATCATCTCTGAAAGGACAAAACCTCCTGCTAAGCCAGAGCCAAGCAATTTAATCCCTGCTCTTTCAGGCTGTCAGGGTGTATCTCCAGGAGGGGGGAGGCAGCTGTCAGGCAGCTCCTGGCACCACAGCCAGAGTTAAAAAGACACAAGTACTTCACAGGGACACACCTGTCTCCTCTGACCTCCACAGCACTGACAGAGGTGCCACCCCTCATCCCCTTCTCGGGCAGCAAACACAGGCTGGGCTGTTTGCTCTGCCTTTTGTTTCCATTATGAACGGTTTTAAGCTCAAAAGGAAATCAACGGTTTAATTATCGACAAAAGAATTACTTCCTTGGTGTCATAAAATAATTTTTGTGGTAAAATATTCTGTCTAAACATCAAATGTGGTGCACTTAGAGCACAGGAAATCTGGGAAAAAATAATGAAACCAGGTATTTGGGACTAATTGGAAGAGATGAATTTTGTAACTACTCTGGGAACAGCCTGATTCTCTCCCTCCCCTTTTCTGGATCATTTCCAATGTTCAGCAAAGCAAGGCACAGCCCCCAGTGCCACAGCCCTGCCCAACGTGACTCTCCTCACAGCCCGGGCACCAGCAACAAGGGTCTTGCACCGAAGCCATTTACCGTTCCCTGACCTTAAGGATCATTAATCCAGGACTAATGAGCTCTGGATTCACATCAAGCAAAACTACTGCAGGAGCAAGGGACAGGGCAGTGCCCAGTCCCACCCTCCTCCACAGCCCCAGCCCAGCGTGTGGCAGAGCAGAGAATTCAGCCTTTGGGGACAACAGTGGGGGTGAAAAAGGCACATTGTTTGCAAATTTTGTGGGACGAGGCAAAGGATCCAATTGCCACATCTCTATTTTAACGCTGATGTTCCCTAGCAGGTTTCCTCCCCTAACCCCAGAAACGGAAGTTTTCTCACACTGGAATTCCTCCTCAAATAATACAAAGGCACCAAACGCCCCGCAGGGTTGAGGAGCAGGAGCAGCTCAGGGTGGGACAGGGCGGGACCAGGGAGCAGAGCTGTATCGCAATCCCCCAAACCCGCTCGGCAGCTTCAGGATTCGTTAATTAATTAGCTGCCCTAAGTGCTGCTGTTGGCTCAGGACCCAGAGCACAGCCCAGACACTGCTCCTGTGCAGAGGAATGTCCCTGCCAGGGGATCCCTGTGGAGTAGGGGATGGAGAACAGGAGGCTCAGGCTCACCTGCCATCCATCACTGCAGCAATGCGCCGCCAGGCCAAGCACCCGCTCACCTGAGGTCACCTGGAGCCTCTTGGTCTGGCAGATTCTCCAGCCCAGCCCCCCCCGACCCCCCAGCCTCAGGGCAGAGCTCGCTGTGGCGCTGCTGTTAGTGCTGACAGGGTTAACCCCGGGTGAACACATGAGGAAGACATTTAAGGTTACTGTGAGGTGCTGGAGGAGGCAGGAGGGGAGGTGCAGGGAGGATGCAGGGGAGGAGCACAGGTAGCAGTGAAGGAGTGTTTACCTGCTCTGGCTAGCATCTCAAACTCGGACACAGTCTCCCGCAGAGGCTGCATACCTTTAGTGGCCGCATCACTAAACGAGAACTCCTGGCTGTCGTTGTGGGGCAGCTCGGTGCTGCTCACCCGGGAGGGCTTGAGGAACACCTTGGGCTCGATATCCAGCTCAAACTGTTAGAAAACCAGGGCAGAGAAAGACATGTCAGCACAGGCTTCTGCTCCCGCCTGCTGTGCTCCCTCTGTCCCTGCAAAGGCTTCCACCGCCACGAGGGCAGGAGAGGTCACTTCCCTGGGCTCTGCTTCCTGCCCCAAACCATCAGAGGCCAACTCAGGCATCCAGGAGCAGCCAAGAACACACTGTGCTTCCAGGTGACTGAGGGATCACACAGGCACGGGACCCATAACCAACCACTTCTCCCCACCCCAACGCCCTGGACACAGGGAGTGTGTCCTTACCTTGATAGAGCTGTTTTCAAACATATCCACAGTCATTTCCTCCTCCTCCTCCTCCTCCTCCTCGGCCGTGGACTCCACCACCATGCCCGGGAACTTCTCGACCCCACAGAACTGCAGGAAGATGGGGGCTCGGCTGGAGTTGCGCTGGATCTCCACGCGCAGGATGCCGTCGCGGGGCCACTTATCCCGCACGTGCTCCAGGCAGTTGATGGGGGAGCGGGAGAAGGCGATGTGGATGTAGGCCAGGATGAAGAGAACGAAGAGAGCCTGCACAGGCCAGGAGACAAGGCAGAGACTGTCAGCCCAGACACCCTCGGCTTACTCACAGCCTCCCCAGGCAGCATCAGCTCTCCCCTGCCTGGATCGGTTCGGACAAGCAGATTAGCAAGTGGACAAGACCTCCAATGCCTCCCAGCCCTGGTGGTCTCTGCATCAACACCACAGACCAAACCCCAGCAGTTTTGGCAGGGAACACACCAGAGGCAGCAGTCCTCCTGTTCATGAACTGAAAGCACAGATCCTGCAACCACCACTGACCCCAGAACTAACCACACACAGCACCAACATGTGCTGAGGCTACAAAGACTTACTGAAAGAAATGGAAATGCAACTGTGGCCTCCAACCCTTCCCTCCCCAGCACAGAGAGTTGCCTGCTGAAGCTCAGAGAAGAGTTTACACTCTTAAATTCAACTTTACAACAGCAGAATAAAGCAAACCTCAACCAAAGCCAACCCACCTCAGGGGCAGGATGACCCAGACCCACAGAGCCTGAAGAGACTGAGCTGGTTCCCGAGGCTAGGCATGTGGAGCACCACAGCTCCCTGCCCTGCCTCAACCCCAGGAACAGCTACAAACCACAGCAAAGCAGAGTGGACTAATAAAACTCGTGCCCTGGAGTGCAGACAGTAACTCTGCACCATGTCCAAAGTTCAGAGCCGAGAGCTCTGAGCTGGCACCGCACGCGGCACCGCGAGCTCAGACCTCCCTTCCCAGACACACTGAGCTGCTCTCTCCTCAGCAAACCTCTGTCCTGACCTATTTGTGATGAACAAACAGGCTGGTAAACATCCTTCGGCAGAGCAGCTGCAGGGAGACACCAGTGAAGGCGGAGCAGAGCCACCTCCCTGCTCACAGGACCAGGGCCAGTTCCAGGGCTCCAGGTGGGACCGTGGGCTCCCACTTCCCTCCCACCAGCACCTGGAGCAGAGCTGGATCAGGCTGGAGGCTGCACAGGCCTGACCCCATGGGCAGAGCAGGCTGTTCTCCACAGAGCCCTGGGAGTGCTCTCCCTTGTCCAGGAGACCTGTGACCAGGGGCAGCAGCAGCAGGAACTGCTCACCATCCCCATCTCGACCTGCCTGCTGGGATCCAGCTGTACCACTGGGAGTGGGAACAGGGATGTGAAACCCCTGAATGTTTCTTGGGAGGGTAGAAATCACATCCCTGCAGTATGAGACAAGCTGTGCTAAGTGTTTCCTTACTGAACTGCAGCAGGTCAGAGCAGGAGAGGAGCTGCTGCTGCTGCCTCGCAAGCTGCTCCCCCCTTCCCTGTCCTCCAGTTTCCCATCCTGGCACTGGTGAGGTGTCAGTGTGCCCTGGCAACCATGGAAGAGGATTTAACCTATGGGAAGTTCACTCCCAGGACACCAACAGCCCCTTGAGGGGGTCCCCAGTCCTGCAGCCTGGTGAGCAGAGACACTGCTGGGAGAGATGGGGTTGGGACTGGGCTGTGCCTTAATGGCTTCCAAAAAAAGAACCAACAAAACAACCCAATCTCCACCGTATGCAGTGTGTCCAAACAGTGTGATCTCCTGCAAACGAAGTGAAAACCCCAGCCCTGACCCCTCAGGCTGCCCAGCAAGCCCGGTTTGACTTAGGGATCTGGAGCCAGTGCAGGGATCACCGGGATCACCACGGATCGCTGAGCCACTCGTGTGTCCCTCGCAGCAGAGGCCGTGGGAGCCCCAGGGC